TTGCTAGTGGTGCCAAGTAAGTAGCCGCTGGTACGGTTGTAGCGCGCTGAGGGAGAGCAAAGCAACGGGGACGCCTGGACAGACAGAAGGAGAAAGGATGTGGGAAAGGGCACAGCTAGCTCGTTTGTCATTTTCCACTTAGCAAATGGAGTAAAAAATGTTCTCAGTAGAGATGGAGATCTGTTTTCTGATCAATGGTAATGCTTGGCTTTTGGAGGAAAGCCAGAGAAATTCCCTCCTTTCATTGTATTATACATGATTCCCCAGCTTTAAATGGTTCCATAATGTCCTAGCCCTGGGAAATGTTTTCCTACGGAGACACAGTGCTGTGCTTCCCCTTGAGTTACACGACCTCCGGTTTTGCCAGGTGTGAAGCTTGGAGGTCTAGGTGCTCCAAGGCAAATTAATTTATAAGCAGGCAAAAATTCAAACACTCTGCCTAGACCATCCTGCAGGTTTGGCTGTCTTCAAGACACTGGAGCTCTACTGGTTTACCATAGCAGCAAGTCAGGCTCATTGGTTTTAGATTGCTTACAAGTGTACAAAATTCAGAGGCATGTCAGGAGTCAATGGCAAGTGAGCAGTTTTCCCACATACATGCCAGGACTCATCTGTTTCTCTTCATGCAAATCAGTGCTCCCAAACCTTATCCAGCCCATCCAAGCTCCTCCTCGTTTCCAACCATGCTTCCCCATGTCCAGCACACCTTGTGCCTGCAGTTCCTGCTGGCTAGCTCTGCCAGCTTCCTTCCATGGCAGTATTCCTGTGATCCCTGACACACAGATCCTTTATGGAGAACGATAGCTGTGCAGCTGCTCCCCAGAGAGCCAGTCCCTCCGCAGTGGGATGGAGCTTGCTGGTGCTACCTGTGCTGGCTGGGTGCAGGGACATGGGCTGGACCCTGTGCAGACACTTTCAGGCCCCAGGTGTTTGGTATTCCAGCAAATCTTAACACTTCTATATTTTTGTGAATTTGTCTCTCCCTAAAAGGCTACCTATTAATTCTTCTCCCTGCTTAGATAAACTCCCCTGGGAACAGCATTGCAAAGTATATCCAGTATCCTTCTTGACGCTTCCCCCAAGGGAAAAGAAATCATTAGATAGCATCATTTGGCTGTTTGTCTTTATCAGTGCCATCCCCAGATGTGCAGAAGACATGAAGAAGGCTTCTGCACAGCTTTTAGCCAGGCAGAGGACAGGCAGAATTTTTCAGTGTATTTTCTACCAGGAGCATGTTTCGTATTTGTGCCACACTGCAGAAATTTAAGGCAAAGACAGGAAAAAACCAACAGTGAAACACTTGGGAAAGGAAATGCAAAGACAGCTTGGAAAGCACAGATGAAGGTTTTTTATAACAGGAAAAATCTTTTTCAATGTTCAGAAAAATGTCATGGACAGTAATATTGAAAATTCCCTTGATCTCTGTCTCACAGTCAGAAAATAAAGTACGTTCCACTCTGTTTTCTTGTACCTGGGGTGCCCCGTTGCCCTGAGGGAGCTGCTCTCACCCACACGAGATATGGCAGAGCAGTGTCGGCACAGGGACCAGCCCTGCTGCTCAGCTGCACTGGGAGGAGGGCACTGCTGCCAGGCTGCTCCCCCTCCCTCGTCTGAGTGCGTGGATTTGTCTCCTGTGAAGTGGAAAGGAAATCATATCAGAATAAAAGATTTCCTCTTGCAAAAAGAGGAAAGAGAAATCAAATGGGTCTGCGACTGGGATAGCCTGACGCTTACTCAGGCTGGATTGCCAGGTGCTAACCTGGTTCTAAAAATGAGCTATATAAATCCAGATGACTAATATTTAAACAAGTTATTTCATTTCAAATGCAATAAAAACAAATAGATTACACATTCCTTTCACCAGTAAGCTTTAGAGTAGTAATCAAGTGCCTTATCTTGAAAGATGCTTTCATTATTATCATCTGTCTAGGCACTGTGATTTAGCCCATGTATACAGCAACCCCCATCCTTGTGAGAATGAGCAAGCCTCGTGGTTAAATATTGATGTTATAGACACTGCTTTTAAACAGCATTCAGAGGAGAGGGACAGGACAAGCTATTGTTAAGTGGTTGACGCTAGACTTACACTTTGCACTTTTTAAGTGGTTGAAGTTAAGTACTGGAAAGACCTCTGCAAAAAAGCAGCAGCCCAGGAGCTGCAAGTTTTTTTAACTTTACAGTGTCTGTGCCATGAGGCACTTCATAAAGATGCTGGCATTACTCTCAGAGCTTTCTGAGACACAAAAGGCTGCAGCCTGCTAGGCACTGTCCTTAAAAGCTCTTTTTGCAATCAAACTGAATGTTGTTGGAGGTTTAGATCATCTCTGCATCCTTCTAAAACAGCTACTGTTGTTTGGGCCTTATGATTAAAGCCAATAGATACAAAATTCCTGTCCATCAGGTGACTACAGACACTGACAGCTCAGTTATCTGCTAAGTGAAGCCATCTAGTTCTCTTTGACATGTCCTGTCTGATTTCCAGCTGCTGCTTTGGAAAAGCAGGGGACCCTCTTCATGTCCTCTCTATCAGTCCGACCTGAATGTTTTGCAAACTCTTCTTGGATGTATGGGATGGCACCGGGTAACTGTGAGCAGCTGAATCACTCCCTGAAAGGTTTTTATTGTGCTTGAGGACAAGTGAGGACTTTCAGGGACAATTACATTGCATTTAATGTCTCTTTAGACATGTTGATATTGACAGGTTGATCCAGTGACAGATCTTTAGCTCTGCTTCCTGCAGATAGATTTATACAAAATCTGTTAAATGTTGTGAATTTCAGAATTCATGTATAATAACTGGTAAATGTTGTGTTTACACTGATGGACAATAATAATAATTCCCTCCACAGAAAATGAGCAGAACCACACACCACTTAGTCAGTCTAAATACATGAGTGGTGGTAGAAACAGCAACTTTCCAGGCTTTCGGAGACACCTCACAGTTACAGTCACATATTTACAACAGGAATGTGTGGGGTGTGTTTCAGTGCACCCTGAAGAGGCATATAATTCGTTCAACAATATGAATATTGGAAATTACATTAGATCACGTGGCCCATATATTTCCAAATATGGACAACAAAATTATGGACTGGTGAATTCAGAGAATGCCTCTGCCACCAGAACTCCACATCCTAGGGAAGAAAACATAGACTGTTTTTGTCCTCCTCCAGCCGTCACCCCAGGCCTCCTTTTCCTACATTTCTAACTCCACACAAACCACTGGTGTTTCTGATGTCCTTTCCAACCCTTGTTCTTGCCTTCACTGCATCTGCTCTGCAGCTGTCATGGCACATTCTCCCATGGCAGCATATCCATGTGCCTCCTCCTTGCTAAGTGGAGGATTCCTGGTCTGCCCCAGTGAATCCATCTGCTTTACGGTATCTAAATGAAGGCTAGGATCAGCCACGCTGGTCCTGTGGATGCTGGTTCTCTATATTGCTAGTTCAGTCTTGTCTCTTTCTGTAAAGTGGGAAACATGGAGCATTTCAGTTTTGAGTTTCCTGAGCTTCATTCCAGATGCAGTTTGTTGGCATCCCACTGAGATACTGCTGTCTTGTTCGGTATAGATGTGTACCTTGCTGAAGGTCTTCAAGGAAAGGGGCTCCAGCCCATGTTAGAAATAACTAGGATGGTGGAGACTGTGTGACAGAGTGGTGGGGACTGTCAGAAGACATGGTCACTGAGCCAATTGGGGTTCCTCCAGACAGTCTGACATATTGATGTTCCTGCAGTAACTCTCCTTATGCAAGCAGCAGCCTGCTCTTTAACCTGTGCCTAGAAAACTGCTTGTTGATGAAGTGAAGGGAAAGCTCATGAGGCTTTGAGGGGCCTAAGGCCAACTAAGCTTAGATGCTGACAGCAAAGAAAGGAGGAGCTTTCAATGAAATTGAGTGTATTCCCTAGATGTGGCTCTAAAGACCTGAAGGAGATAAAGATGCTCAGAACCTGGTCTTTAATTAACTCTTTGGTTTTTTCCCCCCATCTGCTTTCCTCCTTATCTCTGGATTTCACCCAGGAGTAAGCCAAGGTGGATGGAGTACTTGTTTAGGCAGCATTTCTAACCCAGCTTCACAGACCCATGAGATTAAGCTAGTTCAAATGATGTAGACCCTTCAAAGTCTAAAATACTGCTGTTGTCAACCCTTAATACTTTGTGAGCATGCAAGTTTCTCCAGGGGCATTGCAAAGAAGAAAGGACTTTGAAAGTAGAAGCTAGGCTTTCAAAACAGGAAAGGGTTAAAGCTGGACATACACTGCAATCTGTATCAGTTTTAACCCGTGTAAGATTTGAGGAAAAAACATTTCAGAAGTGACTTCTTCAAAATAGTACAAGGAAAAGAAAGGATGTTCAGCATGAACTCCTCACTTGTGGTTAGCAGCATTTGCTGTCTCTGCTCTACCCATCTCCCGCATGGGGCGAGGAATCCATGGTACTGCCATCCCCTCTCTGGATGATGGAAGTGTCCAGTGAAACATTGCTGCAGTCAAAATTTAGAGGAGGAATCTTAATTAAAATTTTTTTATCTGAGATCATTACAAGCTATACTAGTACAGTTGAGTTTGGATATGTGAACTGGGTATTTGAACCTCTGACTCATTGGACACTTCCACACTGGTACACAGTGAGGTCTTCACATCTCCTGATCTCAGTGAAAGTTGCCCTGAGCTGTCAGTTGAGATAAAGCACAATGAAGTCAGTGCAAAGCTAAAGAGAATGACATCACTGCAGAGGACTCTAATCTCCAGGCTGTAATTGTATGATTTTGTTTTTCAAGGTGAAATCTTTATCTTTGGAGATAGTGCATCTAATTAACTAATTATTTAGGCTGGTTGAAATGCCAGAATAAAAATGACCAACTGCAGGAAGGGTGCAACTTTTTGGCAACTATATGAGCACAGATGTATAGCTTAATTTCAGAAAGTGTGCAGAGTCCCTTCAGTGCAAGTAGGAAAGCTAAGGACATTAGGATCTTTTAGGACAGCT